TTCTTAGAGAGTTACTCAAGGCTCCTCAAGATGTACAAGGAATGATGAGCAAACCAACAGAATGAAGCACTCCTCCACAGAAGTCGAAGTACAATTTGATAGGACACGTGCTTAGTGACGAAATCGACGTCTGGAAGTCATGGAGAAATTAGATACGAACTAGTACTTAGCAGGCATACTTCCAGAGGCATCGCTCCCACCACTGCTGGTAGCTCTCCCACAGCTTCGAGAGTGCCGATGTGCGTGTAACCACAGCTGCTATGCACTGGCTGATGATACGAACTAGCACTTAGCGGGCATACTTCCAGTGGCATCGCTCCCACCACTGCCCGTAACTCTCCCACAGCTTCGAGAGTGCCGATGTCGGTGTAACTACAGCTGCTATGCACTAGTCCCCATCAGCCGTGACCGGAATCTCCCTGCCCCCTGGTATTCCACAGGGGGAAACGCAGTAAAACCATACCGCGCCGGAGATGGTTGGCGCCTTGAGAACTACGAGAAACGACGCTCTCCCTGCCACTCCAACCATAGGGCCTAGTCCTTCGCACATCGCAGGAAAATGCCGTTTAACGTATCGCGGGTTAGCGCAGATTAGCGCTCATTAGCGCAGATTAGCGCAGCCCTGGTTAGAGACGGGACCCGTCGGCCAACTTTTGATTAGAATGCATTTCGACACTTGTTTAGCGCAGATGCGTTCATAATATTGAAGGATAGCGCTGGAGCTAACTTTTTTTTTTTTCTTTTCGATTAGGGCAAATATAGGTGAGGGAGGGAAATAAAAGTTGTAATACAAAAAAAAAAAAAGAAAAAAAAAACAGAAGAAGAAGTTGTAATACTTCGCTGCAACAGAGTACTTGTTCTTAGTGACTTGTTGGAAGCGCCGTGGAGGATGGAGCTAACTTTGGGCCCATCGTTTGAATGAATCTCGCTTGGACGTTTTTTTCCACTTTTTTTTTTTTTTTTTTTTTTTTTTTTTTTTTGAACACGACTGTATTTATTATTAAAAGTCTTGAACCAGAGGCCGGGGACCTCACAATTCTACCCGGGTTGCTGGAAAACAGGTCCAGCGTCCTATTTGGGTAACCAATCTGGAAAACAGATCCGAGTCCTCGGAAAGAAAAGCAGACTACCAGCTGGAAACAAGGTCCAGAGTCCTTTCCTAGGGACCAGTTCTATAGTCTATTGTGCAAGCCCTGGCAGAGTCTGCAGGTGCCAGAGAGTAGTGTCTGTGTACAGAACAAAGAATGCCCCTCTTGACAGTCTATTGACTATCCCTGATCGAACCTTTAACCAAGGGTTTTGGTTTCTGGCTGTTGCTGATTCTAAAAGGGCTTACTTTCAAATAACAGAATGAAATCCCCTTTTTTTTCCAATCAACAAGGCTCCAAGCGGGGCAAGTCCCACTAGCAGCGTTGAGCTACCTCAAGGCCTGAATCTGGATGATATTGCAGAGGTGTGCAGAAATGGTGTTGAGTTTCCTGAACTGCACCTCTCCACAAACACGTCCAGATTCAGGCGTTGAGGTAGCTCAACGCTGCTAGTGGGACTTGGCCCGGGGGTGGTCCCACCTGCGCCTTCCCGTCGTAGGAGGCTACCACGAAGCGACTGGCGGGGACCAAGTCCCACTAGCAGCGTTCAGTATCCTCAACCCCTGAGTGTGGACGTGTTTGTGGAGCTGTGCGGTTGACAAACCTCAATGCCATTTCTGCACATCTCCACAAACACGACCAGATTCAAGCGTTCAGAACACTCAACGCAGCCAGTGGGACTTGGCCCCCGTGGTCACATGTTCTACGGGAAGATTCATTCGGTGAGTAGTGGAGCGAGGCGGCCCGAAGTGCGAAAAAAAAAAAAAAAAAAAAGGAGCTATGGGCGTCGCCCCACTACTCTCCAAATGTGAAAAAGATAAACAATGTGGCGGGTCCATCTGGCCACGTTCTTCCAACCTGTTCATTCTCATTTTGCACATTTCGAGAGTGGTGTGGCGGACCCACCTGCTCTCTCGGTGGGTGTAACAATAGGCCGAAGTAGGCCGCAGGGTTACCCAAGCTGGTGCTGGGGACCTGGGAGAGAAGGTCAGGCATTGTCTGAGTCGTTTTAGACTCGGGAAGGGCGTGTAGCCCTTTATTGGTTAGCTATAGTTTCTGTAGTTAATGTTTAGATTAGTGTAGGCTGGGTAAGCTCGGGTTAGTGAGTATAGGGTAGGGATGGAGAATCTAGGAGACCTAGGGGTGGGATTTAGTTATAGGTAATGTTTGAACACTGGAACTTTTCATTTGAGAAATGCATAAAGTAAGGTCTTTGAAGCTAAACCGGGTCCAACCGGCTGGACCCGGTTTCCAGCAAATTTTCCGGTGACTATTCCGGGTAGAATTGTGAGGTCCCCGGCCTCGACCACCAAGGTGTTTTACCTTTGAAATATTAAGCGCAAACTTCTCAAAAAAAAAAAAAAAAAAAAAAAAAA